CACTGTGGGTATCTACCGAAGAAAGGGGTTAATTTATGTCATCTATTGACCAAAATATCATAAATATACTGAAATTATAAATTCCTACCAAAATGAATCAGATTCTGATTAATTCCGTTGTGAACAATTAATTTATTATGGGGTGTCCTTGTTTTACTGGCCACCTAATTTTGACATATCAGATAATTTCTCCGCCCCTGCACCAATTTTAACGAAAATTTACGACAAGACTACTAAGCCCCGTAGTACTTAATGGTGAAAGAAACAGCTACATATTTTGAGGGGTCTTTGAGAAATTGGAAAAAATGATAGGTGTCCTGGTTTTACTGGTCGGAGTGTAGGATAATACCCTGAGAGTTTTAGGAAAAACTATACACTCGTTTCAAAGTTATGGTCATGGTCAATACTTGTGACCAGCGAGAAAAATACGTGTGCACCAACAAAAACATAGTCACCCGCATACCTGGAATTTATATATGTTGCATCGAATATTGGTAACATAATATCCTGAGATTTTTAGGAAAAAACATACACTCGCTTCAAAGTTATGGTCACAGTCGATACTGGTGACCAAGGGAAAAAATGTGTGCACTAACAAAAATTTTGTGATAGCCGATTACATTTAGTGATAGTGGATAAATTTTGGTATATGGGTTATTAAAGGCTCGTATTGAAGAATTCGAAGTTTTAAAAATTTTAATTTGAAATCAGACTTACGCCTGACTCGGGCTATATCAAGTCTGCACTGTAGGTTTTATAAGATAAGGCTCTACAGTAAAGATGTGCTCACTTTTACTAAACTCTTAGAAAAATGGTATTGCATAATTTCGGACAGGAGTGTATATTTGTGTGAATATGCCTGCACTGGTAATGCGGACTACATAAACTTATAATAATATTATAAGATAAGAATTTATTCAATCATTGTGAAGGTTGTTGGGGGCTGGGGCCCATGAACGTGCAATAAATAGTTATAGTTTGGAAAGTATTGTCAATCAATGTGTTAAGTAATATTACGACAATGAAATATTTATTACTCAGAAACAAACTACTACCAATCCGGTAGGAAGTTATTACCACATCAATACCAGTATATATGTACACTCTTAGAAATCCAGTGCTAAAGTAATACCAAGCGGTATTCATGTATGACTCTACCAATATGGTATTGATAAGTGATACCGTATAGTAATAACTCGGTATTATAGTTTTACCATACCAGTAGCAAATCCTTACTGACTGGTATAATTTTAATACCGAGCGGTAGGAACTTTAATACCGAGAAATTAATACCTGCCTGACTATGCCAGATTTCTACCAGTGTACATATATGTGACCATGTACTAGATTTTTTACTGTAGGAATTTCTCCTGTTTACTGCGGGGCACATACTATCGAATTTTATAATCGGTCCTTTGCATATTTTGACGGATTCGCGATGTTATCCAACATGCAAAGCCCGTATCGCGAAAATGGGCCATCTGAGATTTATGAAAATGAGATGCCAAGCCTAAATACAGTAGGGTCAGGCGCTTAAAATATAACGATTTTGGCCTTGAATAACCCCGGCACGGTTTGTCGTAGCGGGTCAAAATTTTGAACAGAGAAGCATATTATCCTCAGGTAGTTGTGTGCAAAATTTCAACTCTCTACTTTCAAAAATGCCTCCCCCACAGCCCCCAGAAGGTGAGGCAGTCATTTCAACTCTTTTCAAACTCCGTCTAAAAAATCCTGTCTCCACAGAAAAGATTTTCTTTTTAAGTATCCGAACTCAAAAATGCCCATTTGACTTACATCAGGGGACTGTACAGGTATTTCACTATTCGAAATGATTTTTATCCCCAATCTAGCTTCAAGGTCCTTTGCATAACCTTGGGTTAACTTTGTCGTCTGGGAAGACGCTGCGTCACGATGAATAATTACCTTATTTATTTTTTTACCGTGCTATTTAGGAAAATGTTACTCTAAAAGTGGTTTCGATACACGGTTAGCATAATGCTTTGCAGATTTCTTCACTTTTTGGGGGACTTTGATAAGTGGGAGGACACCACGACCCGACATTGCACCGACAACCATAAACGTGTTGCAAAAGTTCTCCTCACACTCAAGCACCAACTTGCGTGAATTTTTTCCGTCATTAGTCGTGCAGTAAGCTCTTCGAACCTAATTAGTAACTTGTAGAGAAATTAGTGCTTTGTCATATGTCACCAATAACTAACTCTGATTCCTTGACAGAAAATTCAAATAATTCTTTTTGTAAACACGGGCGCGATTTTTTTCCTGTTTTTCGGTCAGCTGATGCACACGAGTTTTCTGACGAAGTCGTTTTTCAAAAATCTTAATTTCTCTTTTCACTCAATGCTTAGACACCCCAACCTACCGGGAAATTTCCTTTTGGGTCGATGGATTGCCTGTTGAGGTCAATAGGTCAATTTTCTTAAGCACGGTCGGAATTAACACTTTTTTTTGCCTTCTTGGATGGGGTGGTGGTTGTCCTTAGCTCAAAATTTCTCGCTTTTTACTTATATTTTTCAATACCCTATTGATTCTAGATTTCGAAAATGTTTTTCGTTCACTTTTAAGATGTTCTGTTATTAGGCTAGACGAGTACTTAAGTTTGCAACGAGTTTTTATGACTGCCTCACCTTCTGGGGGCTGTGGGGGAGGCATTTTTGAAAGTAGAGAGTCAAAATTTTGCACAACTCTTGACTAGGACAATATGCTCGTCTGTTCAAAATTTTGACCCGCTACGACAATCCGTTCCGGGGTTATTCAACGACAAATTCGTTATATCTTACGCGCCTGACCCTGTACGAGTATAGTATATACGATAATTAATATGATCAGGTGACTCATAGCACATTTAAATCGATCACATCTTGCATACATTGTCATTTATCGTAAAAACAAGAACCAGTTTTCTCACTGCATGCAATAATGTCTTTCAAAGCATTTTTTCGTATCCAGGCGAGGTCAGCGTTTTGGTTTTATTGCAGGTTCGGGTACATACGGTGGCGTTATTTGCGAGTGTCATCTCGTTTTAACGAGGTGATATAAAATATTAATATATTGTTGCACATTCGTGAGAGGCAGCTTGTCCATCATGGAAAGCCCGTCCGGCCGAAAATGGGGATAGTGAGGTACTTGTTTTACGTTGCGTTAAACACCCCAAGATTTACATATTCATATCATTTTTTTAGATAGGTCTTAGGCTCTGACATTCTTGCCCAATATTTAAAGTGCAAGGTTTCGTTACCATAAATGTTTATAGCCTAGCTTTTTCATACATGGATACAAATCAATCTAGAAAGGGTGCATGATTAGTATAAAAATTTATATTTGTGCAAATTACGTCAAAACTATGAAGCAAGTTTATGTATAAAGAACGTCCGGGAATGAATTGGAATGCACGCTCTAGCGAGTATATTGACAAATCAATAAACCCGCGAACTATAATAATTTAAATTTCTGAAAGCCCACTTCATTAGGGTCAATTTGGTATATCACTCTTAAATTTCAAAAATGGATAAGGGTAGAAGAAGCTTGTTTGAAAGGGAGCTGTTAGCAAAACGAGTGATGGAGTTCTACAACACGACAGCCAACCGAGACTCCAAGGTGACCTGGAACTTTTTTAAGCAGGAAGGAATTCCAAGTTCAAATGTGTATTCCTACATAAAAAAGTTCAAGGATTCCGAAAATGTGCAATTCAAGAAGCCAGCTGGTCGTCCGGCGAAGCTAGCGACCACTCGAGTGAAAAATAGAATTGAAAAAATTTTCAAAACCAAGCCATCAACGTCAGTAGCTGTAGCTGCCAGGAAAGTCAAAATTTCCAAAAGCTACCTGGGGGAAATTAAGGTCCATAAATTAGGAATCAAAGCAAGGACCAAAAAACCTGCACCAAATTACAAGCCCGTACAAGAAAGTCGGATCAAGGATTGCTGTCAAAAATTGTTGAAGAAAATGCGTGGAAAAGTAGTGATCCTGGATGACGAAACGTATGTTCCGGTTGACCCTTCAAATCTTCCAGGGCGTCATTTTTTTCATAGCTCGGATCCCTCTGAAGTGGCTTATGAAGAAAAAGTACGAAAAAAAGACAAATTTCCAAAGAAATATTGCATTTGGCAATGCATCTCCAGTCACGGACATGTATCAGACCCGGTAGTTCTCGAAGGGAATATCAATCAAGATATTTATCTGAAAAATTGCGTCAAGGCTGGATTGGAAGCATTTATTAATAGGTTTCACAAAAATGATAAAGTTTTGTTTTGGCCTGACCTCGCCACTTGTCACTATGCAAAGAAAGTGACCGAGTACCTCAGAAAGAAAAATATTGATTTCGTACCAAAAGATATCAACCCACCTAATGTACCCCAACTCCGCCCAATCGAAAAATTCTGGGCACGTTCTAAGTCAGTATACTCCCGGCTTCAAGATGTGCCTGACACCTTTCGAAAATTCAAAGGACGATGGAAGAAAATCACCTCGGAAGTGGCAAAAACTTCGGGAAAAAATTTAATGAAAAATCTTCGCAAGAAAATCGAACTAGTCGCCAACGGGGGTGTGGCGGCCTTAGCTATTAATTAAATTATGTAGGTACGTATTTGGTATTATACATATGCAAAAAGTTTAAAATTCCGATAACTCATTGTGATTTTATGACCACATTTTCAGACCATTCCCATTCATTCCCGGACGTTCTTTATGTCTTGAAAGTCTATACATCCGTAAAACCTCTGACGCCATGAATCAAGACCACGGCATGAACCTGAATCCAATCTGGTCTTCACTAATGTTACCTCTGATCAAGCGCCCCTAACAACGATACCGTTTTTTGAATAACAAAATAATTTATGATTAGTTTTGTGAGTGAAATCAATCGTGTTTTCTCGATTTCCAATATTGTCCCTGAAGATGATACTAGTGTGTATCGAAAGCTAGGAATAAATATCTGCATTATCACAACAACCAGGTCGTCCGATAAATCCAATACAATTTATGTATATTTCTACACACAGGTACACATATCAATGTATATATTTTATTACGTCGTAAAATTTAAATCATTTTTAACGAGTTGAAGGTCGTGACATCACATATTTTATTAACACGAGTTTTTAGCATTGGACTAAAAACTTGGGTGAAATGGTCAAAATTATCTGAAAATCTATCACAACTTATGACACAAGTATATTTCCAGGTTCAAATTTATTTTCGTTTTTCGAACACCACCTGAAATGGGTATGGCTTCAAGGCGAGGCCCGGTTTCAAATCTTGTCTCGGCGTGGGTTGTCCGACCGGGTTAGATATTTTGTATCGTTGCAGCAATGCGGTCAGTATCAAGAATGTGACAATATTGGCGTGCAATTCACCCGGACAATTTCTCTTCCCTGTTAAAAATTAAAAACTCAATTAACAATTCTATAATTTTTTAAAAAATCCTCATTTAAATACTTATTTTCTCATGACCCACCAAATGAGAAGGAAATCACACTCGACGCATTTTCTAGTTCGCCATGTTCACCAATAAATCGTTCCGGCCGAAAGACCTCAGGGTCGCCCCAAATTTTCTTATCTTCAAAATACAGACGCGTATCGACAAGGATAATTGTGCCCTATAATAAGTAGGCAAGTGAAAGCGCAGTCAGTGGCCTTTAGTCACTTCAAAAAATTTATGTTGCCATTTTTCATAACCGTCATTTTACGGAATTGTCAATTATGCAAATGTATTTGCATACATATATGAAATGGCTGGTTAAGTGAGTTTTATGCATACAAATTAGACAATATGACCAGTATGTAAAGTGGCCTAGGAGCAAGTCAGAATGTTGCATCAGAGAGTACAAAAAGTTAACTTGGTCCTAAATAATTGTCATAACTAAGATGCGATTACAAAAGAGAAACTTTTGGAAAATGTATTTATTCATATGGAAGAAAAATTGCCACTGAATTGAAACGCCGTAGTTTTGTAGTCCATGCGATTAGCTACTCAAATCAGAAAACCGGAAGTCGATATCTCGACTAGTTCCAAAATGAGAACAAAAAATCGGGAACAACTCGCAAAAAAGATTTGCCACTACAGCGAAAACGTGTGCGAGCGCGTCCGGATAATGGTTAATAGCCACTTCGAAAGAGAAAAAATTCATAATGGGGCAATTTGCAGAGTTTTAGATATGTATGAGGGGAGGAGGAATGCTGAATTCAAAAAATTAAAAAATCGTCCAGCTCGTGTAGCGACCCCCAAAGTGATACGTAGAGTTCAGAAAGAAAACAAAAATAACCTTGGGATATCAGATGGTAATTTGGGCTACAAATTGAAAATAGCAAAATTAAGTTTGTATGTCATTAAACCTACGAAGTTGGGGGTCAAATCCTATAAGGCGACACCTGCACCAAAGTACAACCAAGGTCAGCAAAAAAGAGCAAATCCCAACTCTCGGCAGATTGCTGAAAAACGAGTCAAGCAAAACATGCTCGTGATTCTGGTCATGGATGATGAGACCAAGTGCTCGATTGATCCAGATGAAGTCCCTGCGAGGAAGTACTACTCATGTACTAATAAGAAAACATGTAAAGAATCCTTCAAATACACGCCGAAGTCAAAATTCCCCACAAAGCACATAATCAGGCAAGGATTGGACTCATTGGGGGACGTCTCAAAGCCGTTCGTGACCACAGCCACCATGACCTCGGAGAGATATCTGAACGATTGTGTAAAGAAGATCTTGATCCCCTTTATCAATAATCGTAATGTACTTTTCTGACCGGACACAGCAACATGTCATTCTTCAAAAGTTGTTCTGGACTTGTTGCGGTCGAAAAAAATCGATTTTGTTGCAAAAAAGGAATATGCTCCCTACGTCCCTCGGGCATGACCAATTGAACGATTTTTGGCATTATGCAAGAGACAATATAGTCGTCGAACAAAACCAACCAAAAACTTGGTAAGATTCCGTCAAATTTGGACACACACCTCAAAAGTGGTAGCGAGAAAGAGTGGCAAAGCACTTCTGGGGACCGCGAGGCAAATAATTCGCCAGATAGGAAGGATGGGGGTCTATGGCCCGTATCAAGCAAAAAATTGAGTTGTAGAGACCTTGTTTATAACCCCTGAAAATTTCTTTGGAATTAATTAAGTTTTTCGGATTTTACTGGCATTTTTTCAAAAGTTTCTTTCTTTTGTAATCGCATCCTACCTTCTTAATTTTGTAATTCTTATACAAAAAATCCCAAAGAGCTCTCCGTGGTGCAAAATTTTGTGCAATTCTCGCATTTCGATGTGTCTCAAGGATGAACGCTTGGGTGTATGGCATACTAAAAAATACAAAAAATCAACATCCGCAACATTAATTTAGTAAGAATTCAACTACATTGTGGACCATTATCGAACCAAGAGAAATTTTATAAAGCAACCAGTGATAGAGGTTAATAATTCCTGGTGTGCTACGAGAATTAATTACAATTAAGTGCGATATACATATTTACCTTTTCCTGTCCTCAAAATTTATAACCCTGCCGTTGGGTGCGATATCCAATATTTCTTGGTAAATTTTCTCTTGTACTTCAGGAAATGTTATCAAATAGAGAACCGCAGACTCAAGGAATGAGCTGGTTGAATCCGAGCTAGTCAGTAGAAGGTCTTGGAAGGCGACTTGGAAATTTTCGCCTAAATATATTACAAGGTAAGCACACCATGAAGAAATTTATTTAACACTTTTTTCAGTAAGAATTTCATTTAAAACAGAAGTACTAATTTTACAATTGAATATCTCATCGTCCTTTCCACAATTTTGGACAAACGCTTCCAATAAGCTGGCAGGTTGGTGAGTAATCGGGGACGCCTTTAATTCTTGCCCCATTTCGTCAAACAGTCGCTAATTAATTAGGTCAAATTAAATTTACTCATTCATTTTTTGGTTAAATTGTAAATGAAATATGCATAATTTGGGATAGAAAAAGCATGCATAATTTAGAATCAGGGAATTTTGCGTAATTTGAAACGAAGGAATCACGCAAAATTTGGGATAGGAAAATTATGCATAATTTGAAATGAGGGAATCATCATGCATAATTTGTAACGCGAAAAATCGTGCATAATAATTTTTTGCAATAACAATAAGCTGTTTATGTACCTTTCCGATGGAATTGCACGTCTGGAAAAAGTCCGTTTGAACCTTGTGGCCTAACCAATTTGGGAAGACGAACCGCAAAAATGGGAACGCATTCACGAGACTTGGTCCAATAACGCCACTTTTTATGAAACGCTCTGCCTTCTCCGAAATCAGCTTAAGGTGTCCCTTATCATTTTCCGATAACCGACCAACGATCATGAGCCACACCGTGGTTTGGATGGGTTGATGAAAAAAGTAATCGACATTGACCTCGGTGCCTTGTTTCTCGTCAATTTTGGCAAACAATAAATCCGATGCTACCTGGAAATAGCTCGTGCAAAATTTGATTTTCTTTTGAAAATTTCCTAATTATTATGCTTACCTGGATATATCCCTCCATAGCTAAAGATTTCCCAAATCCGAATTCACGTAACGTTTTAAACGTCCAATTTCTCGTTTTTGTCCAAACGCTTCCGTGGGATGTTGCAATTCCAAGATTTCTGTGAAAACTTCTATCCGCAAACATTCCAGTGTTGTCACGTGCGAACGTGGCCTCGTTGGAGAGGACGGTTTGCATCGCTTCTTTCGAAGTTAGCACGACTAAAGGATAAATATTTATTAATCCTAAGTCTGATATTTTCCTTGTACGTACATATACTTAAATGCACTCTTAGAAATCCGGTATTAATATAATACCAAGCGGTATTCATATACATATGACTCTGGCATAGTGGTATTAATAAGTAATACTGCGTAGTAATACCTCGCCATTAAATTGTATCAAATCGATAGCAAATTATAATACATACTCCGGTATGATTTTAATACCAAGCGGTAACAACTTTGATGCACCAGATTTCTAACAGTGCACCTTGTAAAAATTCACTCATACTGAATTCAATCCATGACATGAATTTCATTACACCTAAAATTACTGAATTTTCAGAAATTTATCTTTAACGACATAAATTACCTGTCTTTTTAAAACCCATCCTTATTGAAAAAATTTCCCCATACTTTTCCCCCAATACGCCCAAAGTGTTCACCATGTTGTCTGATGCTCTCGCTAAATCAATTAAATTTCCCAAAATTGGTAAACCCCGTGGACCTGGATTGGATCAAAAATACAGATTTCTTAAAATTCATGAAACAAATCGTTACATTTTCTTACCAGAAATTTAATACCTGGTGGCTCATCGGAATGACAGTGTTTACCAAATAAATAATACGCCAGGACAGCCAGGCACAAGCCGAGGAGAGCAAATTCAAGCATTGTGTCAGCCTGAATGAAATGGATGAACTGAACTGTGAAAACAATTTTATGATGGAACTGCATATGTATGAACATCCAAATGTTATCTGGATGAAATCACCCCTGGATCAGGATTTGCTGGATGCAAGGACAAAACAGGTTTGGCAAAATGTGATTTTTTGCTCTTTGTTGACGGATGAGGTCCTACTCTAAGGATGTGTTCGCTTCACAAGGAATGCGTACATACTCTATTAGCAAAATTGTACTGAATGATTGCCGGAGTGCAAACCAATATGTAAATATGACTTAACCGGCACTGTAATAACGGGAATTACCATATAGTAATGAATTACATGTACTTAACGTTGTGGTAATGAAAATTTACCACTCCGAAACAAACTGTTACTAAATTTATAACAGTATATTTAGAGTGTGTATGTATATGACTTCACCACATTTTTAACAGCGTAGAACACATGCGATAATTAGTATGCAGACGAGGAAAGATGACCGATAGCACGTTCAAACCTATCACATCTTCTATGCATGGTCCTTCAGCATAATCCAGTCTTCTCACTGCACGGAAGAATGTTCTTCAAAATCTTTTGTATGTATGCAAGGTCAGGGTTTTCTTGTAAATATGCTTAGATCACTTAACCTGTTTCGTACTACTAATTTTTTATCATAATTTCCCTTCAGTACGATGTTGATTTCACCTGATTACAACCAAACCAAGTAAACTTTCAATGAGTTTCTAATTTTCGAGTTTTCTTTCAAGAACCATGAAAAATCCACTTTTTAACATTAGTTGGCATAGGAAAATTTCAGAAGAGAAATATTGAAAAAAATCCACCTGTTACTATCGAGTTTTCCACAAAATACCAAGCAAATACTCGTTTTTAAGAAATTTTGGGGTCAAGGTAATTTATATATGCGGTACACATATGTATTTGTGAACTTCGCCGTGAATAGAAAACAAAATACTAGACGAATATGTGTACATACTTTAATAGTCAATGGATGTAATTCCTCTACACGAATGCCGGAATGCGTGTATGTAGTTTGGCAGCCAAAAGGTTGCTTAAATTTAAATCTTTAACTTTATTTTATTTTATCTGAGGAACCCGTTTTCTTTAATTTCTAGTTGTTTATGTATTAATTCGTTAGACAAGGTCAGGATTTTCTTGACACTTCGGGTACTAATGCACCTTCGAATAGTACAAACTGTGTACATACATACTCGGACATATAGAAGTACATATGTAAGTGAGATGTACACATATGTATGTACATGTATACATACATAATATGTATATATACATATTATGTAAATATATGCATATCTACGCATATTTATGCTTATTATTGTTTACATATTTAGTACCTATATTGAATCAGAATCCTTATGTATATGGGTTTTGAACAGGTTGCAGGGCATGATTTTCTATCTATCTATATATAGCTTTATTTAAGCAAGTTTTTAACATTGGGCCAAAAAACAGGGTGAGATGATTGAAATTTTTCCGAAAATCCATCAAAACTTGTCTTGCAAATAAACATGTACAAATAATTATATTTTCGAATTTCGCTTTTCGAACACCACTTGAAATGGGTGTGGCTTCAAGGCGAGGCCTGGCTTCATATCCAATCTCGGTGTGGGTTGTCCAATTGGCTTGGATATTTTGTATCGTTGCAGCAATGCGGTCAGTATCAAGAATGTGACAATATTGGCGTGCAATTCACCGGGGCAGTTTCTCTTCCCTGCTCAAAATTAAGAGCCGGATTAATAATTCAAAAAGTTCAAAAAGTAGTCATGTACTTTTTTGGCTCACCAAATGAGAAAGAAATAACACTCGAGGCATTTTCTATTTCGCCATTTTCGCCAATAAATCGCTCCGGCCGGAAGACCTCTGGGTCACCCCAAATTTGCTTATTTTCACAATACAGGCGGGTATCGGCAACGATGATGGTGCCCTATAAAATAGCCAAGTGAAAGCGTAGTCAACGGCCTTTAGTCACTTTGCATAATTTCTGTTGCATAATTACCATTTTACATAATTGTCAATTATGCAATTTGTATTTGCATATCTGAAATAGTTATGTAGATAGTTATGTAAAATTAGTTTTATGCAATAAACAATGCCATTAGACTATGTCGTCATTATGCAAATGCACATTATGAAAAGTGACCTAGGGCCAAGTCAGCAGGCTGCATAAGAGAATAGAAAATATTAACTGATATAAATACCTTCTTAATTTTGTAATTCTTATACAAAAAATCCCACAGGACTCGCCGCGGTCCCAAATTTTGTGCAGTTCTGGCATTTCGATGTGTCTCGAGGATAAACGCTTGGGTGTACGGCATACTAAACGACAAAAAATTACAACATCATTACGCGTCAACATCAATTTATCACAAATTCAGCTATATACATACATTCGTCATAATTAAAAGTTATCGTGAAAAAGTTTCATGAACAGCACATATCTACTGATTCTCGCCGAAGTACAAATAGAGACTCGGACTATAAAATAGAAAGACCCTATAGTAATGAAATCAACATCGTACCCAAGAAATTCGATAAAAGCAGTCAGGAGTACTTATTTCGAAAGATGTAAATACTATCCTATCTTACACACCAGAATTAATTAAAATTAATTGCAATTCAGGTGCGATATTTACCGCTTCCTGTCTTCAAAATTAATAACTTTCCCGTTCGGTGCGACATCCAATATTTCTTTGTAAATTTTCTCTTGTATGTCAGGAAATGCTATGAAGTAGAGAACAACCGACTCGAGGAATGAGCTGGATGAGTCCGAGCTGCTCATTAGAAGGTCTTGGAAGACCACTTGGAAATTTTTGCCTACATACATTGAAAGGTAAAAAATCATAAAGAAATTTAATAATTTTGAATTTAATAATCTTACAATTGAATATCTCATCGTCCTTGCCACAATTTTGGACGAACGCTTCCAATAAGTTGGCAGGTTGGGAAGTGAGCGGTGACGCCTTTAATTTTTGCCCCATCTCGTCAAAAAGTTTCTAATTAAATAGTTCAAATTAGAATTATACAATTATTAAATTATTATTCAGAACTATTCAGTAACATCGTGCAATATTTGGAATGGGGGAATCATGCACAATTTGGAACAAGGTAATTGTATATACATAAATAATTTAAAATGAGGGAATCGTGCATAATTTACAATGAGGTAGTGGTGCATAATTTGTGATGTGGGTGGTAGATAATCATGTAAAATTTGGAATAAGGTAACTGCTCATAATTTGGAATGATGGAATCGTGCAAATTTAAAATAAAGCAATCATGCATAATTTTAGCTGAGAGAATCGACATAATTGAATTCAGGGAATCATGCATAATTTGGGATGAGGGAATCGTGCCCAAAGCTCAGGACTATTTTTCCCATTAATACCTTCCCGATTGAAGTACACGTCCGGAAAAAGTCCATCTGTACCTTGTGGCCTAACCAATTTGGAAAGACGAACCTCAAAAACGGAAACGCATTCACTAGGCTGGGTCCCAAAACGCTACTTTTTATGAAACGCTCCGTCGTCTCCGAAATAAGTGTAAGGTGTGCCTTATCATCTTCTGATATCCGACCCACGATCATGAGCCACATCGTGGTTAGGATCGGTTGATGAAAAAAGTAGTCAACATTTACCTCAGTGCCTAGCTTATCGTCAATTTTGGCAAACAATAAATCCAATGCGATCTGGAATTAATTCGGGGAAAATTTGATTTTCCGTCGAAAATTTCCTAATTATCGTTTTTACCTGGATATATCCTTCCATAGCTAAAGATTTCCCGAATCCGAATTCACGTAACATTTTAAAAGTCCAGTTTCTAGTTTTGCTCCAAACGCTTCCGTGGGATGTTATAATTCCAAGATTTTTATGGAAACTCCAATCAGAATACATTCCACTGTTGTCACGTGCGAGCGTTGCCTCATTGGTGAGGACGGTTTGCATCGCTTCTTTTGAAGTAAGCACGACTAGAGGATATGGAGTTATGGTGGTCATTTTAAGGCTGATACATAACATTTAAAATCAAATTTTAACCAGGAAAAGAAATTGTAACACAATTGTTACTTTTGATGAACAATTACCGAGATAATTGGTGGAAGTCAGTAGTGCAGTTAGTTATCGTTCGAACAAGTTAAAGATTAAAATTGCCCATTAACTTTCACGATAATTTTATTTGCTTCTAATAAGATTTCTAATAAGATATGTGTGTGTCCCTACGTATTAATTTTATAACCTTAAAAGTTATCCGGCAACGTCAGATAACGAGACTGGATAAGTGAGCCCTGAAATGGAACTCTTTCTCCCACGATTCCCATGTATTAAGAATAGGGTGAAAAATGAATAATGCATACAATTCATTCTTCGTTAATAAATAAATGGGTGAATAAATGTTCATTCAATCTTCATTCATTCAACAAAATTCATTCCGAATTTTTTTCCTCATTAGTCATGAACTCAGCGAATAATGAATGGACAATTTACTCACTTTCTATTCAGGTAAATGCTACGCTTACCCGTAAAATTATTAAATTTTCAAATATTCGTCTCCAACTAAATTACCTGTCCTTTTAAATCCCATCTTTACAGAAAAAATTTCTCCATACTTTTCCCCCAATACGCCCAAAGTTTTCGTAATGTTGTCCGATGCTCTCACTAAATCGATTAAATTTCCAAAAATTGGCAAACCCCGTGGACCTGGATTGGATTAATAATAAAGATTTAGCAGCAATTCGTGCAAAAATCGTCACATTCTTTACCTGGCGGCCCATCGGAATGATGGTCCTTTGCCAATAAATAATATGCCAGCATAGCCAGGCACACGCCAAGGAGAGCAAAGTCAAGCATTTTGTCACCTTGAAAGAATCTGATGAACTAAATTGTGAAACGTTGCACTTTTCTGAGAAAACTACACATTCGAAAGAAATCACCTCTGGATCAGTTTAGTGCAGAGACGAAACTGGTTTAGGAAAAAGTGATGCATTTGTCAGATAAGGCCCTGCATTAAAAATGTGCTTTTACTAAACTCTTAGAAAAATGATATTGCATCATTACTGACAGGAGTGAATATTTATGTGAATCTGCCTGCACTGGTAATACGGACTACACTGTTTAGTAGTATTATGACAATGAAATAAATATTTACCACAATCAAATTATTACCACATCAATACCAGTAAGAATGTATGTACATATATCTGTGTCTTTACAGATTTTTAACTGAAGGAATTTCGCATTTTTACTGTGGGGCACATAATTAATATGATGAGATGACTCATATATAGCACACTTAAATCGATCACATCCTTTATGGATTGTCTTTTAGCGTGATAACCAGAACTAGTATTCTCACTGAATATAAAAATGTTCCAGACATTTTTTTTTGCATCCAGGCGAGGTCAGGGTTTTGTTTGAGCGTCGGGTATATACGGTCGAGTTATTTGAGCGTGTCACCCCGTTTTAATATTTTGACGCATTCGCGAGAGACATAGTTAATTCATGATTCATCCGTATCGCCGAAAATAGGGATAGTGAGATTGATGCAAATGAGGTGCCAACTGCCAAGCCTACGGAAGAGGATAGTAGATAGGTTATTACCGACATGCTAGCCGAATATTTGAAGTGCAAGTATTCGTGATTATAAATATGTATTAGCTTTTTCATGCATGAATAAATATCAATCTAGAAATGGGTGTGTAATTGGTATAAAATTTATATTTGTGCAATTACCTCAAATCTATAAAGCAAGTTTATGCATAGATTTCTACACAGAAGTACATATACCTATATGTTTATATTTTATTGTTTAGTTATGTACATAGTTAAGAATCTTACCTTAAAATCGTTAAAACTTATAAGTTTTAATTAGGAGTGAGTTTATGTATGTATGTACGTATGTATGCATATTATGTATCAACTCATTAGGTTGACCATTTATGATTAATTACATATTCAAAAAGTCTTTATCATCTGGTTTACATTTTTCACTGATCGAGCGTAAGAATTTCTATTGAGTACATATAAATGTGCAACTGATTATGCTTTTCTTAACTAGTTTTTTACTACATACATATAATTAAAATTTAAAAATACATAGTAAATATATATGTACAAACCTGTGTACATTGAGTGTATTATTCAACGCGCATGAATAAAATAAGCTCATGCTTTCATAAATATTTAAATATGTACAGTTGCCTCCGGAAGCGTGTGGCCAATGTCCCATCATCTGCCCATGTTACATTGGCCCCTCCCTCTGCTACCCAACAATATTTATGTCCCCACATGTTCCCACAACTTAATGCATATATACATGATGCAAATATGTACGTACGTCAACAATAAATATGTACGCTATGCAAATTATTTCCTGTAATGCGAATCGGCTACGATATAGAGATGCAAGACTCCTCATGATCCAATAAGGCAATTCGCTCATTACTTTCTTCGTCGGGAGTTCGATTCAGAAAACTGTTTAAGAGGCGGACAAGTTATTAATTTATATTTCTAAAGAAGTTCTTTAGTAGCTCCATTTGTATGTTAAAAAGTTAGGTTTCTTGTTTACCGAAAGTAGAATCCCCTAGTGGCACCACGGTCACCCAAGAAATTCCCAACCTTACACTGAAAACATTGTACGAGGTGAATTATTTTGGTACATATTCTCAAACATATTTATATTAATGTATGTACATAGGACTCAATGTGTCATATGGCCAAAATAAGCACGTTTTTAATTATTTCTCGGCTATGGGAATTTATCTTAAAATTCTACAATACAAATTTGTAGATTTGTAGAGTGGGTCGTCAAAAAATATAAACTACAGATTTTGACAACGTTTGAAGGAGATTTAAAGTTAAAGAATCCTTCAGAAAAATTGGAACTCAACTGAACTCGCTGATCTTAATCGAAGAAAAGATCACTACCATTCAATTAATCCACTTACTGATAAATTTGTCGGCCAATGATTTTAACATAAATTCCAAAAGTCATGAAATGATTAAAAATGTGTAAATATGTATACATATTTACGTACGTTCACAATCCGTGTAATTTTTTGTCGAAACATGACAAACAGTAAGAAGACTAGGAGGAAACTGCTAATAATCCCAAGCGCGATAATCCAAGCCGCTAAGAATATCACAATTTTCTCAGATCATCAATTTAAAATGTAGTGTGGTTTAAATATTTCGCTAAAATGGAAAATTTTACAAAGAGAAAACCCCTAAATCTCCACTAGTTACAAGATCTGGGATTGAGATTTTTATTAATTATTTAAAAACTGGATGACAAAGTTCTAAAATGTTGAATTTCAAAGATAAAATTTCAGTCATAAACGGAAATTTAGGAATTTTTCCCATTGACAAATTTTCCATTGGAGCTTGACATTTAAACCACCCTGTAAATATCTACATATATTTTGTTTAGGGCTTACACTGTCCACTCATCTCGGTCGGTGGAGCAGTGGATGTTGGACCAACCGGTTGTGGCGTGATGGTCGTCGGGGGAGGTAAAGTCGTTGTCGAAGGTGTTGTTGGGGACGGGTCCGGCCTATCGCAGCTGTCAATGCCTTCTTCCACCTTAGATAGTAATGGATTTTTATTAATGTATGGTAATTTCCCAAACTGTGCATAAAATGGAATTTTGACTTCGGCGTGTATTTGAAGGAATCCTTAAGCGTTTTCTTATTAGCACATGAGTAGTGCTTCCTCCCAGGGACTTCATCTGGATCATTCGAGCAATTGGTCTCATCATTCATGACCAGAATCACGGGCATGTTTCGCTTGACTCGTTTTTCAACAATCTGCCGAGAGTTGGGCTTTGCTCTTTTTTGCTGACCTTGGTTCTACTTTGGTACAGGTGTCGCCTTATAGGATTTGACCCCCAACTTCGTAGGTTTAATGTCATGTAAACTTAATTTTGATATTTTCAATTTGTAGCCCAAATTACCATCTGATATCCCAAGGTTATTTTTGTCTTCTTTCTGAACTCTACGTATCACTTTGGGGGTCGCTACACGAGCAGGACGATTTTTTAATTTTTTGAATTCAGCATTCCTCCTCCCCTCATACATATCTAAAACTCTGCAAATTGCCCCATTATGAATTTTTTCTTTTTCGAAGTGGCTATTAACCATTATCCGAACGCGCTCGCACACTTTTTCGTAGTAGTGGCAAAATTTTTTTGCGAGTTCCTCTGAATTTTTTGTTCTCATTTTTGAACTAATCGAGATATCGACTTCCGGTTTCCTGATTTGGATAGTCAATCGCATGGACTACAAAACTACCGCGTTCCAACTCAGTGACAATTTTTCTTTCAGACAAATAAATATACTTTTTCAAGTGTTTCTTTACTTTCCGACCGAACTCTATATCAAGAAAATCTCATATAACCAAACCATTACGGGTTGATGTGCTGGTTGCTCGTATTAGTAAATATTTAATAAGCCATAGGATATGTTTTTTTTCGTAGCTGAAAATGAGCTATGTGCTATCTCAATTGCTTGTTTGTCGCTTATTTCCATCATTCACTCAATACAAGTTATCCTGGGAGGGATGAAGCAAAGCGGCCAAAAAGTGAGATAAATATTAAACAACAACAATGTATAGCTGTATCCATAGTCCGTGATTTGTTCATGATTTCGTCATGATTTGATGGTTTATCGCATCCATACTCCATAACTTCCAAAAAATATTTGATTCCGATTTTCTGATTGGTCGATATTTTGAATTGTTATGGTGATTAACATGCTGAAATTATGAACCCGTGAAAGCATCACCAAATCACTAACAAATCACGGACTATGGATGTAGCTTATCATTCATAGCCATGGAGCACTGAACCAAAATGGTCCATCATGGCCCGTGGATTTAGGCATGCATTTAAAGCCTTTCCAAAAAATGGCAAGTACCCTCCCAATATTTCAGAAATACCCTCCATTGAACCCTACCTCCTAATGTTATTTTTGAATTAGGATTTTGGTGGCAAACTACCTCTTAAAATAATAGACGTATCTGCAACATATAATTTTGGAATTTTATGTAAAACCCAAATCATTTAGTTAACGCTTCCATAAAAACATACATTTTTAAAAACTACATGGCAATCAAGGCTTTTGTGGACTTAAAAGGTCCTCCACCCACGTTTCTCTCGATACAAAGTGGTACAGTTTTGGCTTCAGGACAACATAAAAAAATGTTTTGAACTTTCCGAAGTACATCTTTACAAATATACAGTACCAGTTCTTAAAAAAACTGGCACACGTGCATGTCAACCATTCCAAACAGTGCAGTAAAATCGAACTAAAGGGTTACGATTTTCAGAAATTGTCTTAAAAACGTGAATATCGATACGTGATAATGCCGAATTTTTAATGCCGGACCGGTATAATTTTAATACCAAGCGGTAGCAACTTCAATACCGAGAAATCAATACTTGCGTGACTATACCGGATTGCTAACAGTGCAGTCCCTAGAGGGTAACCTATAGCCTTCTTAAAAGTTGTTATTTTCACCTTAAAAAATTTAGTATGGTAGATAAAATCTACTTCTGGGTAGCACATACAGTCTTGGAAGTTTAAGATTTTAATGAAAACCCACTGGTCAAGGGGAAGGACTTCTTAATACTTTAAAAATTTGTTGCCAAATAATAGAGAATATTTAACAAACATTTAATCATCCCCACAACGGAGGTTGGTAACAATCCGCCGGTCAATTCGGATAACAATTTAGAAGCGGACTCTGTACCTCGCTCAGGCTAAATGAAGTCTGTATTGTAGGTTTCCTATTTTGTGTTACTGGGCCTAAGTTGTCATCAGACCCATAGTATGAATCGTTATGAAAATTTAATTTTCTAATAATGTTAGCGATTTTTTAATTGGAACGAAACAGAAGATAAGAATAGACTGTCAAACTTGAAGTCAGGACTTGAAATCAGTTTTCTAAGAGTGTAAATGATCAGCGTTTTCTAAACTCGCATATTTTTAAAATGTCTAATGAGACAATTTTATCTTCAACAGTTTAACGTGACGTACATTTTCACCTAATATATTTATTCTCATGATATATTTTGCGTAGTATATTTTTCATTTCTCACCTCAATCTGTAAGTAAATATGTTCATATGTACATACTACTTCAGCCAGACAAAGATTTAAATAGGTGGGAAATATGTAAATAAGTACATACATAATAAGTTTCCCACCGGGAATTTCTATGCTCGAAAATGCATTGTGCATGTGTGTCCTTAACCTGCTGACGGCATTGTTTACTCCGGAGCGGCGATGCCTGTCGAGATTGACCTGATTAGCAAACCGCCTCAAACGCGTTGGACACGTGACGGAAATATCGTCGGGGGAATGTTTAAGGTGAATGTGCCGCTTTAGGTGGGTCTTCGTCGTTAAAGTTTGTCCACATTGTGGACATTTGAATAATCTGGGTTTGGGTCCAGCAACCTTCTCCACTTCCGGTTTGACTGTAACATCCGGTTTAGTACGAGTTGGGGTAACTGGTTCAGCTGTGGTAATCTTTTGCAATAAGATGGTAGTTATCTCAATTTCATTATTTTTGTGTAGCGGTGACGATTCTGGGATTGGAATGGCGTCGATTATCTCGTCCCAGTCGATAACTTGAATGTCATCAATTTGATCACAAATATCGAGATATTCTCTGTACAAGTCGGCCTCATTGGAAGTCTGGGTCTGACGGGAGGTGGTCGTGTAGAATAAGTCGCTTAAAATGTCCACATCGGCTAAGTAAAGCTCAGAAGTCGCCGTTGTGAGAATAATAGGGAAGATTTTCTCCATATTTGTGTGGGAAGTTCAAATCCTTCTAAAGTGAGAAGTTGCACGGCGTTCTGCAATATGAAACATAAATTTATTATCCTGACTTCTTCTCTTACAATGGAACCCTCCAAGCGTACGCTCTCCTATTTTCAACTGGTGTCAAACGATCACAAATAACCTTTTTACAAAAGACACGACCTCCCAATTCGCAGGTTTTCCACAGATATTTCCATCCGAAGAGGAGAAAACGCATAGTCCATTTGGGAAGAGCAAAGTTCGCTACGTTTATCGCGTCTTCTCTTCTTCAAACGCAACTATCTCCGCCAAACCAGTGCATTTGGAGATATTGCAATTTTCAAGTTTCATGTTAATTAAATTTTTGATCGATTAACATTAGTCTGGAAACAAAAATCGGAGAGCATACGCTGGGAAACCTCTAGTAATATAGTTTTGGACTGAATGAATAAATGTGTTTAATTCGTCAGTATTATGCGATACTGATGGACTGAAAATTAACTCGTACTCCAGACTAGTTTTGGGTTATGTAAATAATTTCATTTCGTAAAACATTTATGCCCCTCTAACTTTTAAAATACCGAAAAGAATAAACAAAATTAAATTTTGAAATAGCATAAAATTACTTACGAAATATCTGTAATTCTTATCTCGGCATAAATTCGTGTGTTCAGAAGGTTTATGTAATTTAAATAGTTTTGAATTTCTAAAATAACACGAGAAATTATTTAAATTACCTCAAATAAAAAAAAATCAGCAAACATATCAAAATTAGTTTCACCTCGCTACCCCCTGCGGACCTTCACCTCTTGACTAAAATTAAACAACTGGTTAAATAAAGAAACACCTTAATCAAGACCGACTAGACAAAAAAGAGATTAATGAGTACCTAATCTTGAATCAACATCCTTAAAAAAGTGAATACTGCGTTCTCTCCAAAGTTCAATCTCAATCTGGTTTCAGTTGAGACTAAAACGGCAACAAACAAACAACGACCGTCCTCAATCCAGTCTCGGTAAACTCTACGTGAACCTGAAGAAAGAAATGTAACAATATATAAATAAGTGCCTACGTGGATAGACTCGTTGTCGGGATCATGTCTGATTTTTATTTCTAAATTTGCATATTGTTGCATAAAATCTGAAACTTTGTCCATCCGACAAGTTTCTCCATAAGAGGGAAGAAATCATTACGGCTTATGTAGGTAAATAAAACTGATTACGTGACTCGATAACATGTGCATATCACATGTACATATGTACGACAAGTCAAGAAACTTGCATCCATAATATCAGTGGCCGCGGAAGGTTAGGGAGAGAGGGATAATGTCAAGATCACGGTTATTTGATGTCCCCACTATCTGTCCATGCTATATATTTAATGCCCCTTCTCTCTCCTATCCTATACAATTTTAATGTCCCCTCTGCTTTTGCGGTCACTGCATAATAAGTAAAAACCTTGTATTCTTCGCCTGTTACGTAAATCGGTACATTTGCATAAATGTACTTAGGTACAGGTCTGGTATAAAAACAGGTGCTGGATGTAAACGTATGGACGTAATTAAATATGTAGATACGGTTACATAAAATATCTGTCTACACAGGTATCTACATATGTGTTTATGTATGCATATGTGTAGCAAGTGTTGCGAATATGAACAATTCTATACTTAAATGAGTAAACGGCAATCAAGTCTGGTTATTGTAGCAAGTTTTTGTAATGGATACGGATAATAAATTCGAGTCTGTAAAGATTCTACTCGCATTACGTACATACTCGTTGAGATGAATTAAAGGTGTAATTATGGTGAGTTATGTAAGTATGCACATGCAAGGGGTAAACTTCAGTGGGTAGACTCAGATTTCGACCAAACAAAATTTAGTTAGTTTGATAAATTTATCAAAAATTTGAAAACATGGATTTATTTAAATTTCTATGTTTAGAATTTTTCCATCCCTGAATCTCAATAAGGGTATTCCTTTCGAGTTCGAATTGTTAGCAATGATCACAAAAAAATAAGGTTAGCAAAAACTTTTGGCTTTAAAATTAATTTACGATGCAAACATGCGAACTCTTAATGTACACATAACCTCATTTTGTTCTTTGGAAATATTAGTGTGGCCCTCAATTTCTTCGAATTATTGATCAAATTACATTTTGAATACCTTAACTGATTTGTCAACGAAAAATTTAACTGTTTAAAGGTCTACATATTTTTTTAATTAAAAAGGTTTAATAATTGCAAAAATTCTTTGTACACAAATGTAATTATTTTTTCTTACCTGTGTCTACTTAAACTCGTGTATCGAAAAGTTGGCATAAACAGATACTAAAACAATTTATTCCAAAACCTTGGAATTTTAAGGTACCCAAATCTTGTGACCTCATCAAGTAAATATTTATGCTTCAATTACTAACAAGAAATGCAGCCAGTTTTTTTCACCATAATAAATATGCAACACTATGCACTCTGAAGCTGGACAAATTCAACCCACACTTCAGTTTTAACGACCACTTAATTTTCGCCAAACAATCAACAATGCAGTCTAACCAAGCCTTGTTTTGAAATTTTTTACATAAATTGTCGGCTTATACAACTCACATATTGCCATTTTCTCCTAAACTAATTGACAGTCGGGTCAGACAGCCTCGTAAAGTGGGGAATGTGAGGTGCAATTGTCTCGCCACAATTTACGACCCGCATCGAGAAAAACATTCAAGTCGCATTAATTAATCAAATACCAAACTTGTTTACTGAATTTGAAGAATGACAATTACATGGGTGTCCCGTTAATAAATTTGCACCAATCGATTGTCGCCTTAATGGCTATATTTTCTGATCCCTGGCCCGCGAATTCAATCGTGGCCTTCATAATGTCGTAGGTTATACCCAAAGCATGTTCCGAATTGTTATTTTTTTTAAATTACCTCTATTTAAACTTACTGTTCAGCCGATACTTATAGTCTGAAAACAATCTGAAAGGTTTCCTGGCCGATAATATACATTATTTAAAAAAAAAAAAATAACCTCTCAGACAAATTTCTAAAGAATTGAGACTATTAATACTGGCTGAATAGTAGCCACTACCTTGGTCACAAACTTTGCCCTTTATCGTTACTCTGGATTTCGGAATAAGGTTGACGAAATAGTACACTTTTTAGTATAAATAGTTTGTCAGATTACACTCTTAAAAATAATGCTACCCTTTGAAAAAGTAAATGCACTCTGAATTCTATATTAAGCAAACTATACTAAATCTAAGGTAAACTTTACTCTTTATCAAGTTAACGTTAGTCTGAATTTAGTATGCGGTAAATAGATAATCAATTTATAGCCGGGGCTATTTAATCCATAACTGGGTGTCACAGAAGACGCGGCTACAATTAGAGACCGACTCTATGTAATTAGAGACCCGGGTAAATTTTGTTTCCATCCTAATTTTAGACATTATAGGATCATTCGTTGACTAATTTTTATATAACAAAGCCTTCGAGAATTTTCGTTGGCGTGGCATCTTGCAGTTAAACAACGGAAATTTAGTAGTTTTTAATTTTTGTCATGATTATATGCATTCTTATTAAAACATTAAATAAATTCATATTTATACAACCACCCAGGCCCCGTTTTAGGTATAGGCGAGCTAGGCGACCGCCTAGGGCGCTAGAATTTGAGGGGCGCCAGCAGACGCCCCTGTACACTAGATAAAAACAGGTTTGCGGAATTTTTTATTGTTGTGGATTCTTACAAATTTTAAGTTTCCACGACAAATTGTAAGTTAAAAACAAAAGTGTGAGGTGGTTATCTCCGATTTTGACCGGGCCGATTTTAAATTGTTCACCCTCAGAAATAAGAGAACTGTTCTCTTATTATTACTAATTTCTCTGATTATTACTATTCTTTTACAATCGCATTCAAGAAAACTCAAAAATATGTCATATATTTTTGCGTTTTCTTGAATTCCATTGTTTTACCCAGTGCAGTGGCACAATTTTTTGGTAAATTTTTAGTCAAAACGCTTTAGCTTATGACATTTTTACCCGATCTAAAAAATTATGCACAATTTGTGTTTAAAATTACTTAGGTCAGGAGTTGATAGAAACTCATTTTTTAACTTTTAATTAAAACATATGGTTTTTGAGTCTTGAAAGTTTCAGAAAAGCTCGTAGCACGAAAATATCAGCTTTTTGAAAGTGAAAAAAATTATTATGATTTAAGGGAACTAATTCTAAGCAAAAGCTGTGCTGAATCTTTAAGTGGGTAAAATTGGAAACATGACTGAATTTTTAAAAATCCAGGCATTGGCTGCAATTTTATTTTCGTTCAAAACGAAAAAGTTGGACCGCTTATTTCTGAGATTAAAAATTTAAAAGTAGTCGCGCCTAGGGCACGTGATTTCGATATTTCGAGATTTTAATTTTGTATTTTACCTTGGTTACACCTCCAAGGTTTCCAAAAATGAATTATAACTTGGCTACACCCCCAAACGTCCCAAAATTCAGTTATTACTTGGTTACGCCCCCAAAGTTTTGAAAATCTAATTATTTTGAATTGGTTGTACCTCAGATTTTCGAAAATTGAATTCTTACTTACACCCCCAACTTTGCTAAATTGAATTTTTCTTTTTTACACCCTACTTGGTTGGAATTCTTGGCACTAGGGCATGCAATACCGGTATTCCAGTACCGGTATTAACCGGTATTACCGAATACCGAATACCGGTCTTGAGCTAACCAATACCGGTATTCACTTCATAAATTTTACATATTGAGACTAACTTTCAGTTAACCAAATTCCACTTATTAAATCCAAAATTAAAATAACAAGTTGATGGTCACAATTTGGCGGATTATAATCAATGCATTTTTCGTACCAATCATATATTTGAATTAATTTTTAATTATTTTAATTACTGCATATGTACATATGTATGCAGTATGCATTTATTTTTAAAGTTTCAAACAATTGTGTAAAAAAATGCTGAAGAAATTAATTCCCCAAATAGAACATCGAATCGTTTTGTCATGCAGATTGTCCTCTAGAAAAATTTCCGACAAGCTCAAGTTTTCTAGCAAAAATGTTTTAGATGTAAAACACTGTAGGTTTTGAGTTTCTGAGAGAAAATACGAAATTTTCAACGGCTGAATAACTGTTGCTGATATGGTAGCAACGCCAAAAATATGCTACCGTACTTTGATAAATAGACAACTAAAAACTGTCAAGTAAAAACTATTTCACGGCTCAAATTTTTAAAATCGCTGAAAATACCTTAGGCAGTTATGAGCGCACACACGAAATGACGATGATGTTAAAACAGTTCAATAGTTTTAGTTTAAGCGCATACGTTTAAAAGTGGATGAATTTGAAAAGGCTGCGATACGGAGTAAATAATCAGAAGTTTGGGGAATACAATGAGTAAAATTTGAATCGGGGGTAATTTTTTGCCCGTGAGCTCTGATAAATTATTACGAAGTTAGGCATATAACTAAAGTTTTTAAGAATATTTATGTTCACTTCTGTAATAATACTTATTCATATGATTACACACAAGCATTTAATTGTCTTAAACGTATGCAATTGCTTTGTGCGAGGATTTTCATTGATATTAGCATGTTTAACAAATTTAACATATGGTGTCGGTAATACCGGTATTACCGAAGGTCTCAATACCGGAAATACCGAATACCGGTTTTGAAAAATGGTACCGGTATTGCATGCCCTACTTGGCACACCCGAAATTTATTAAATTAATTCATAAATTGCAGGATTTCGATATTCAAATATCGAAATATCGAAATACCGAAATATCGAAATTACCCATGTTTCAGTTCGCGGAGATGACCACGTTACGCCTTTCCTTTGTTAGTATGAAGCTTCTGTTTCATAATAAGAGTCAATCATTTTTCTGGAATTAAAAATCTGTAGTTAAACCTATGTAAACAATTGTCATGTGTGTAAATGCAATTAGTGCAAAACCAAAATATGTGTACGATTATATAGTGAGGTGCAGTAAAAGTGCTTTCTAGCGCCGATGGCATGAGCACGTATGCAGGGGCGCCATTATAGTTTTGCCTAAGGCGCCAGACGGCCTAGAACGGGGCCTGCAACCACCAGCCTTATTCGCTGATAAACGGAAAGCGCGACATTTTCCTGCACACTCTATGTACGAATACAAACCACAGGTAAGACACATCATAGGTACATAGAGACCTAGCTAAATTTAAAAATCTCGGCCTCTAGAATCGGCTAAATATATACTGACAATGGGGGCGCAAACCATGTTCAGCCCAGATAATTTTTTGACCTTATTAGTTTGAAAGAGCAAGTCTTTGCAAACAACATTTGGTTCGGCACTTGGGCAGATGCGCAAATTTCAGCACGTTATGGGTGCCGCAAGTTCGCAAAAACGCATAATTTTTCGGGCAATGCCCAGCGCGAGCTCAACTTCGTGCGTTTTTGCGAACTTGCGGCGCCCATAACGTGCTGAAATTTACGCATCTGCCCAAGTGCCGAACCAAATATTGTTTGTAAAGACTTGCTCTTTCAAACTAATAGGGTCAAAAAATTATCTGGGCTGAACATGGTTTGCGCCTCCACTGTGAGAGTATTTTGTGTATCTGAAAACAAATTTGTAGTTGAATAACCCCGAAACGGTTTGTCGCATCGGGTCAAAATTTTGAGCAGAGGAGCATGTTGTCCTCAGGTAGGCGTGTGCAAAAATTCAACTCTCTACTTTCAAAAATGCCTCCCCCACAGCCCCCAGAAGGTGAGGCAGTCATAAAAACTCGTTGCAAACTTAAGTACTCGTCTAGCCTAATAACAAAACATCTTAAAAGTGAAGGAAAAAGATTTTCGAAATCCAGAATCAATAAGGTATTTAAGAATATAGGTGAAAAGCGAGAAATTCTGAGTAGAGGGCAACCACCACCCCCTAGAAGAAGGCAAAAATAGTGTCAATTCCGACCGTGCTTAGGAAAATTTACCTATTGACCTCAAAAGGCAATCCACCGACCAAGAAGGAAATTTCTCGTAGGGTTAGGGTGTCTAAGCGTTGAGTGAAAAGATAAATTAAGATTTTGAAAACACGACTTCGTCGGAAAGCTCGTGTGCATCAGCTGACCGAAAAACAAGAAAAAAATCGCGCCCGCCTTTGCAAAACAATGTATTCAAAATTTCTGTTAGGAAATAAGAGTGTGTTGTTGGTGACATTTTACGAAGCACTATTTTGCCTACAAATTACTAATTGGGTTTGAAGCGCTTACTACACGACAAATGCCGAAAATAATTCACGCAAGTTTGTGCTTTCCCATGAGGAGAACTTTTGCAACACGTTTATGGTGGTGGGTGCAATGTCGGGTCGTGGTGTCCTCCCACTTATCAAAGTCCCCCAAAAAGTGAAGGAACCTGCAAAGTATTATGTGGACCGTGTATTGAAACCACTTTTAGAACAACATTTTCCTAAATTGTGTGGTAAAAAAATAAATGAGGTGATTTTTTATGATCACGCAACGTCTTCCCAGACGGCAAAGTTGACCTAAGATAATGCAAAGGACCTTGAAGCTGGATTGGAGATAAAAATTACTTCGAATAGTGAAATACCGGTACAATCCCCCAATGTAAGTCAAATTGACTTGTCTGGGTTCGGATACTTGAAAAGAAAATCTTTTCTGCAGAGACCGAGCTTTTTAGACGGAGTTTGGAAAGATTTGAAATGAGTGTTTTGACTTCTGGGGGCTATGGGAGAGGCATTTTTGAAAGTAGAGAGTTGAATTTTTGCACACAACTATCTGAGGATAACATGCTCCTCTGTTCAAAATTTTGACCCGCTACGACAAAACGTTTCGGGGTTATTCAAGGTCAAAAACGTTTCCACGGACATGTACTACTCTCAGTAGATCAGGGCCTTAATATAGAATTTAGAGTGTAGTTAAATATGTACTACTGAAAAAGGTAGCATTATTTGTAAGAGTGTGTATACCCTCACAGAGCACCAGAGACAAATATAACCCCCAAGACCGAAATCACCTTTCTGCCTGATTCAGAGATAAATTCCTATCAAATCATCTTACCCGAATCCGGTGGATTATTTTTCGGTATTTGCAATACCGAACAAAGGGACGAATGTATCAAACTGTGAAGTTCTTCAACAAGTTGGGATCTTGTCTGGCTTGAAAAAAATCGTCAGACTGGTTCCTTGAACGGCTCGAGAATCAGACTGGTTCCTTGTGAACAAATCGAGACCAAAAATACATTTTGCAGTTGTAGCTTTGTATTACGTGGGGTTAACATGCAGATAATTCAACCTTACACTCAGTAAACAGGTTTGGTAAACAAATGCATAAACAAGTCGAACCAATAAAAAACCATGCATTAAGGTACCAGTTATATAACTCATGCAATTTTCTATCTGGGTGGAGGAGTTATATAATCAAGCAAAACAGCAAAACATCACTCAAATGCATGGAAATTTTTTAGTCGTTCTCAGAACTGGGAAAACTTTCTGTGCAAGTTTTGCGTCGTAAATATGTGCATATGTATGCATATCGTAATAAAGTTAATTACTTTGGAGGGTGAAATGTACGTAATATTAATCTTATTATTAGTTAGCTTAATATTAATTACCTAATATTAACTTCATCTCCATGCAAAAGTAATGATGTAATGATTAATTTCATCTCCATTTCTGGCAAGGATGTTGGTTTTAAAATGTATTTATTATTATACATAAGAGATATTATCAAATTTTATACTGGTCATTTTTAAGTGCAAGTCAAATATCCGAAGAGTTGTCGTATAGCTTTGACCAGAGGAAATATAGGTAAAGATGTAGCTACACTAAAACATAAAAATAATTATAATTTTCACACAATTTTCATTTTTAAATATACATTTGTAATTCACTAGACTTTTTTATGATTCAATTTATCTGAGCAAAAACGATTGACGTGTCAATCGTTGAAATAAGTAACTATAAATTTTATGAAAACATGTCTTAAAAAATGTACGCATTTTTTAACCAATAGTAGAAATATTTATGAACATTTATGTAGATATGTATGGCTGAAATATAACCCATTTAGAAATATGTAATGTATATGTACAACAATCTAAAAATGCTTTGCAATTTTTGTAATTTATAAGAGTTGTGGAACAACGCACAAAGTATGACCTTCGATCGTTATCAAATGAAAAAGTTGAAAATAAACACACATCCGCCCACTGGGTCATTTTATGGCTATGTTTTGCATTGAAACCTCATCTCCCTTCACTGGTCGGCTCAGTCCCAGTGTCCCCCTTACTCTACTACCATTTGACCCAGTCCTCGTTCGCCCTATGACCCTTGATGCTGATAATGATGCGATGACGATGATGATAATGTGATGATGAAATGCTGGCGACGGGTTGGCCAGGCAATAAGCAATGTCTGGAAGAAGGAGAAGGTTGTTGCTGGTCCGAAGGTTACTTTATTACTGACTGTCATTTGGCAAATGTACACGACTTTATATTTTACAACTATGGCTACTGCTTTGCTCCTCCTTCACTTCCACATCACTACTTCTTCCCCTTGTGCACGTAGATGCACTACTCGTTCTCAGAGGGAGCACACAAGCGAGTATGGGCTGAGTGGTTACAGCATACATGCGTACACTCGAGGTCTAACATTCATATGTATGTATGTATGTACATGCTCGCAAGTTGCTAGAGAACAAAGGCGATAATAATGCTGAATTTCGTTATGTACTCCGGTATACTGAACCAACAAACACATTTTATTGTCCAAAATATGATAATGAAATATCACGGAAAGTTGAGTAATAAGTTGTGGCGTATCGCTTGAAAATATTCCACACCTACCGCAGCCAATTAAAGATGAAGAAATATGTAAACCCACTCAGCTCCATGTATGCAAAGAATTCCACGTGCCTAAATACTGACTGAGGTACAATTCGTTTGTCGGCACAGTGCCTAAATAATGTTCGACTTCTTGCACAGTTTCCACATTTCTTCTACAATAAATTGTGGAAAGCGCAAGAAGTAGCAGCCACCTGGCGGCTCACACTCTTTATTACAGATAATTATTGGAATTTTCATATTTTTAATAGGAAACTGTGTCTTAAATACATAGGGTTGGTAATCTGGTATACATAATCTGATTCCACCGGATTATCCTACCGTTTACTATAACATTGATCGGATCGGATCCGATCCAGCAATATTCGATCCGCGTAATAAATACAGGGTTGGCCAAGATAATTTGTTTCAAAGATACAAGATACAAGATACAAAATATTTGAACGAAACCCCAAGATACAAGATACTAAATACAAATACTTAGAGTTACACAAGATACAAGATACAAGATAGATTTTATCTGCTGTGATCCCAGATACAAGATACAAGATATTTATTTGAAATAATTTTTTCAAGATACAAGGTAATTTATTCGGAGCTTGCAAAGAAATAACTAAGCACCACATGATTTTTTGTATTGTAGCCGAGTAACTTGTTAATAAGAATAGTATACGAATCATAACTTGCATTATAATTTATAAATTATAAATTATAATGCAAGCCCTCACCCTCTGTTTATAATTTATAAACAAATGAGAATTTCCAACATTTCATGTGGTGACCCATACTGATTTTTTAATTGTTCCATGGAGCTGAAATTATTATTACCAGTATATTCATTTGAAATTAGGAATAATTGCTCTAATGGTGGTACAAATTAGGAATATAAAGGCAGATTACAAAATTTTCCAACGGCGAGGGTTTATTTACTGTGCATAAATAAATATAGCGACGTTATACAACAGAACCTTGCATCTGACTCGGCAAAGCTGTGCACTAAGGTTTTTAAATGATCATTATTCCACGGTTTAATGCTGCCAAATATGCAAGATTCTCGGTTTTTCACTAAAAAAAGTATCTTGTATCTTGACTAGTATTTCAAATAAAATATGATTCAAATAAATTCTCCAGATACAAGATACAAGATACAAAATACTTTTGCGAAACGTTCAGATACAAGATAAAAGATAGGATAAACTCCGTTACACAAGATACAAGATATATCTTGTACATATCTTGTATCTGATATCTTGTATCTTGTTAAATTATCTTGGCCAACCCTGAATAAATAGCAAACGGGCGGATTGAGAAATCCGATCCGATGGTGCGGATCGGGTCTTCCTAGATTATGTAGCTTGCATTTCGTATACTCGCGCTTGAGTGTGTCCCCTTGAAAACAATTTTTGCCCAGTAATTTCTTGTCTTTGTTTTTTCCAACACGAAATTACATAAAAAATTGTTGTTTTTTTCGCGGGAAACATTATTTTCGACAAAGCACTATGCGTCCAGAGACCTGATAGCTTATGTAATCAAAACCGGTTCCTTTTTATCTCGAACAAACCTTTGTCACTAATGCAATAATCAATAACATGGATAATTATTTAATCTAGTCATGATTCGCATCACGGCACATAATAAATTCTATGGGAACATTAGCTTCGCAGTAAATTGATTGTTTAATGAATATTTATTTTAGTTAAGACGTAATAAATTTCTAACTACCTATTTCAATCTCAAATCAATGAATCAAATCTAAAAGAGAGTTAAATCGGTGTAAAACTTAATCCAAATCTTTTTGAAATAACAGTACTCATTTACCTACATACGTTCGTAATAATGGCGATGCAGACATTTCAATACGTGAGAAATATGTACATATATGTACTAAAGTTTCCCACCCTGAATTTCCATACCGGGGAATGCAACTCTGCCCATTTCCACAATGCAGTTTATGTACACAGTTAACCTAGAAATACATTTTCCTGCAAGAATTTTCCCATTCTTGATTGATAATGTTAACTTTTATTTTATTTGAAACGTATAAATTTCTTAACCCACTCGAACCTTCGTTTCAAACTGCGTATAAAACCTGTTCAGACACCTTAAATCAATGTTGCTTAAAAATCGCGTAATATATACGTGAATATAAAGGTATTTTTACATATTTTTACACTATAAATATTAAAATTTTATCGCCCCCTTACAAATTGAACATCCCGCCATGCATTTTTCTACAGTGCCTTGTGTAGCCGCTCTTGTGGTGGAAACGCTGTCCGCACAAATCACATCGGATTCTGGTATCTTCCACATTACCGAGATCCTCTCTGCACAGATTTCTGAGCCTGCTGACGGCATTGTTTACTCCGGAGCGGCGATGCCTGTCAAGATTGACCTGATTGGCAAACCGCCTCAAACACGTGGGACACTGGACGGAAATATCGTCGGGGGAATGTTTAAGGTGCATGTGTCGCTTTAGATGGGTTTTAGTCGTTAAAGTTTGTCCACATTGGGGACATTTGAATAATCTGGGTTTGGGTGCAGCAACTGTCTCCACTTCCGGTTTGACTATGCATACTCCCGGTTTATTATGAGTTGCGGTAACTGGTTCAGCTGAGGTAATGTTTTGCAATAAGATGGTGTTTATCTCAGCTTCATTGTTTTTGATAAGCAGTGACGATTCTTGGACTGGAATGGCGTCGATTATCTCATCCCAATCTATAATTTGGATGTCATCAATTTGATCACAAATATCGAGATATTCTCGGTACAAGTCGGCCTCATTGAAAGTCGGAGTGTGGCATGAGGGGGCAGTATAATGGAATATGTCGCTTAAAATATCTGAATTTGCGAAACAGGGCTCCGAAGTCGCCGTTGTGAGTATAACGGGCAAAATTTTCTTCATTGTTGGGAAGAGTTCAAATGTATTTTGAGGTATTTTGAGTAGTAGGAGGTTGCGTGGCGTTCTACAATATGAAAAAATAAGTAAAAACAAAGTAACATAAGTATAAGTAAGAGAAAATAAGAATCGTATGCTCTCCAATTTTCACCAAATTAGTGATAACCGATCACAAATTTATTTAAGTAATATGAAATTTGAAAAAACCACTATCTCAAATTTGCTGGTTTGACGGATGTTATTGTTACCAACTGTTACGCATTAGATGATGATAATTGAAGAAAGCAACGCATTCATTTTATATTTTATGTAGTTGCATTTATTAAAACATTTACCTAGCTCAAGTTCCAGAGGTGCTAGTAAGTACAAATCTCATCTGCCTCTCACACAGATTTTGGAGGCGTATTTATACCTAAAGGCTAGGATCATAAAACTAGGGTATCTCTAATGCCACAAATCAACCTAGACAGGTATAGACGCTATTGTAACATATCTCACCCCTTCTAATTTAATT